TTACGCTTGAATATTTGCTGGCAAACACATTTAACCATTTATTAGACTGTTTTTCCTGATTTGAAATAGAGAGCACAAAACAAAGTTCCCAACACCTGAAAGGGACATTGGTATTTCCTGAGTGTGGGGGCCCATCCTGGAATTCTTTGGGGGTGTTCTGGCAGTCATCCAGCATGTCTGTCATTTTTAGAGTGGTGAGAACCTCCATCCCAGGCTAACTGCTCATCACACTACCTAGATTTATTGACGGCCAATGTGAGCTTTTTTCTTTCTGTAGATTAAAAGAAAGGTATGCACTTCCCACAGCAAAGCATACAAATTAGCCAGAAAACAAACTAAATCCCAGCATTAGAAGGTCCCTCTGCTGTGACAGCCCACATGAGGAGTGAATGTGGGAACCCTGCGGTGAGTGAGGCTTGTTCTAAGTCACCTCGTTCCCTCGGGCACGCCGCCTGGGCAGCCGTGGCTGTCAAGCTCCACGGTGGGCATGGAGGAGGCCGGAGGAGGACAGTGACTGGGTGAGGGAGCAGCTGCCGTCTGCCCTCTGCGTCCTCAACTGTCTCCCAGGGGCAGCTTTCCTTTGTTAACAATGGAAGGCAAACAAAGGTGGCCCTAGGAAAAGACAATGAAGATATTCATGCCAAAGGCTGAGGAGTCCTCTCCTCGCAACAGAACGGACCTGGAAGGGAAGGACCAGGAGGGAAGTGGTCAGGCAACAGGTGCGGGGGAGATGGGTGGAGAAAGGGCGAGAAGAACAAGCCCAGTGCCTATGGTGGGAGTGAAAAGTGTAGAACCTCAGGGTAGAAATAACTTGGTTGACAGGCACAGAATTGTATGGAGTCACACACAGGAAGAGATGGATAAGAATTAGTCTTCTGTTTTGGGGGGAGAGTCCCATTCCAGGGTTTCCCCTGGGAGCTGAGGGAGAGGTGAGAGTCTTTCCTGTTGGCCTCACTTCTACACTTCAGAACAGAGGATGCCCTGGAGAGGGGGGTTCCCCTGATGCCTCTGCCTGGGAAGAGCTGGCCTGGGTGTGAAAGAGCCTTGACTGGGGAGCTCTGAGTCTCTCCCGGGAAAGCTGGGGACAGTTGCCTGATTTGGCTGCCATTCACCCCTTTATTATTCCATCCTAGGGCCAGCCTCTTGTCGCCTTCTCAGGCAGACTAGAAAACTGTGGGAAAAGCCCCCTCTATTTAGGTATGCCCTAACCCATCGGCTTCCACCTTCATTCTGGGGCCCCAGCCTCCAGGAGCAATAAGCTTTGGAAATGATCCAAAAACAGCACAAGGGGGCCTATCCCTTAGACATTATGGGAACAAGATTAGCAAAGCTTGGAAGCCACAAGATGCGCACATTACTGAGAAATGGAAGGTGCTTCCCCTGCCTCAGGCCCTAAAGAGACAAGTTCTTTGCCTGCTCTCTTTCCTGTCTCCCTCTCATCCCCAGTCACATGTGCCTTCACTTGTTCATACTCCTGCATGTGTATGTTTCAGATTTGGGGTTTGCCCTGCTGTGTCACCTTCAGCCCATTAGAGAACCTGGGTGGGGGATGGAGTACCTATCGCTAAAATCATGTACAGATGCAACAGTGCCATACGCTATTCATTCAATTTTTAAGGTATTACCATTTTATGTGTTACTACACAGGATTCTAAAGACTGCCATTGGAAACACAAGTTTTTTAACATTTGCTTCCCTTTTGGAAGACAAATTATAAATGAGAAACTGTCTCTAAAAGGAAATATGTCATAGGGAAGAAAAAGTCAATAATGGAAGGTCCGTAAAAACCATTGTTCAACACACAATTATAGGACATCTGATTTGTGTTGAGCCCTGTCCTAGGTACTGGAGATATAAGGACAAGCAAGACAGACAAGTTCCTGCTCTCGGGAAGCTTATGTTCTAGAAGAGAAAAGAGATAATAAACAAATAAACAAACACTATAATACATAGAAAGCAAACTAGGCACCAAGATTGAAATTAAGAGGGAAAGAATGTGAAGAACTGGCTTTAAATGTGGTGGCCAGGTCAAGCCTCTCTCAAGAGGGGACATTAAATTCAGACCTGAAGGATCCAGCTCAGCAGAGCTGGGATAATTGCATTCCAGCAAAGAGATAGTATGTGCAGAGGTCCTGAGGGAGGAAATGGCTTAGCATTTTCAAGTTACTAAAATGTGACTGGAACAGAGTGAGCAAAAGGGAGGAGGCATGAAACAAGACTGGAAAGAGAGGCAGGGTCACATTCGTGCAAAACCCTACAGGCCTTGGTAAGGAATTAGGATTTTATTGCAAGTGAGACAGGAAACAGAGAAGTGACATCATCTCGTTTATGCTTTAAGATCTCCCTGTGTGAATACATGACTTATGGGGTAGTCTGGTGAGTTCTTACTGCTTTTAGAAGTCTCAAGGTTTGGAGAAGCCTTCATAGAAGAGTAAAAGTGGGAGTAAAGGAATAGGAGGAAAGGAGGGATGTAAAAAATGGACACAAACATGTAACATAACAAATATATTCGTGTTGCCCTCCGAGAATATTATTTGGTTCTTGTCAATATTCTCCTGGACCCTGTCATCCTTGTTAAAGGCTGTATACCGAAAAACAGCTCCATGGAGCTGCTTCGGGGGCTTGGAATTTGTTATCTGTGGTTATGGAATATCCAAAGGCAATCTTGCACATGTTGTCACATCTGGGCTTTGATGTGGTCATACTGTATAAAACCTCTCCCCCAGTGCGTATTATGTCTCCTGCAACAGCAAGAACAAAAGAGGCCAGTGTACCCTTTTGCAAGGGTAGTCTGGGCTTATCCTAGTGGGGTCCAGGTGTGGGACACAGATATGGTGCCTAGAACAAGAGAGGGGAAGGGAGTAGCCAGTGAGGGCTGCCCCAGCTGTGTCAGAGTCTGCCTTCCACTACACTCTTCATAAATTGCATCTGCTGGAGAGAAGATTTTTAGTTAAACAAAACTTACTAGAATCTGTCTTACTGGAGTGCAAATGAAGAGAAAGTTGAATTAACAATTTGTTCTGCAGCTTTATGATGTTTGATTTTTATTTTTATTAGTTATTGCTGTGTTCTTCTTTGAATCTGAGAGATGAGCCTATGATGGTCCAAAGGCAGGAAAAGCCACAATCAAATCAAACACTTGGAAAGAGAATTAATAGTAACGCCAAAGGAAAACCACTTTAGTGTGGGCAGAACAAAGAAGGCTGAACTCTTTGAAAGGCAGTTGTGAAAAAGAATTTGAGAGCTTTTCCCCTTATCAGGATCGAGAATGACACTTAAGCACAGCCCATCTGATTTGCATAGCCATATGAATGGATCCACTTCTACAAAGAGACAGTCGTTGATGGACCAATGTGACCTGTGGTGAGCAAATGTATACAGTTGGCTTGTATTGACAATTTAGTCCTTGGCTTCATGTTTTAACTCCCTTCAATAGGGGCTTCTAGCACAATTAAAGTTGATAATCCCAACACGACACATGGAAATTGAAAAGAAGCACAAGGAGAGCTTGTCATTTGGCCAAATTAAATAATTCTACCTTGATGTACTGTCACCTCCTAATGAACAGAGTAGTCATCAGTTAAGTTAAAATTACTGTTTGAGGAGAGTGAACAAGGCAACATGGGCCAAGTCCATTAATGTCATCATTCTGAATATATTCCACTGGTTACTTCTACCTTGCCTCTTACGAACACTACCATTATAACAGGAAAGGAGATAGGAAAACAAAGTAATGAATATCATATGGTGGTAAATTATTGCCTTTTCTGCTCATGTTACCACCCTTCAAATACTCCCACCCATCCAACCGCAGGACCACTCAGCTATCAGCTCTCATGGACCATAAGTGGCTATTTAGAACTCGGAAGGGCACAAATAGCAATGTAAATGTAATAGGATTGTATTCCGGGCTGCTCGGATCAGATGCACCGTCAGCCTAACTTACTATGAATGATGTAACCAGGCTGTCTAATTTCCCATACCCTTCTTGCTCAGATTTGTCTCCGAGCTACGAAGTGTGTTTTAATTTTATGTTCGTTACTGCAAAGGGGAGAAAGCAAGTCTTTCCTGGTTTTAACAATAGCACAGATGGTTAGCTGTCCTATCCTCTTGCCTCAACAAACCAGAGAAGAAAACATAAAACCCATCTCAAATGTACTATGCCCATAAAGTCAAATTTTATTAGGAAAGCCAGCAGAATAGCGATTGTCCAAGGCAGCCATTAAAAACCTTTATCTCCATTATTTAGGAAACCCCCATAAGGCTGCAGGATAGCTCTTTTCACCGTCTACCCATGTCTGAACTCCCTGACATCTAGGTGGGGTCTTGTGACTCCTTCCCCTGGAATGTGAACGTGAGAGATGTGTGTCATTTCCAGGCTGCAGTGGCGGAAAAGCAGGTGTGCCTTCCCTGCCCTTCATCCCCCACCTGCCAGATGCAGACAAAGGACTCTGGGCCCCAGGGGATGGTGGAACCCCGAGATGAAGGGAGTCTGTGTCCCTAAATCACCGTGTGGAAGATCTGCCTGCAAAACACCCACCTTGGCCTTTATATGAAGAAAAATATCTTTGATTGTTTTAAGTAGCTGGAATTTGGAGGTTTATCTGTTAGAGCAGCTAGTGTTATCTTAATTTAACGAAAACAGGGTGCAGGTGGTTATGGATTAGTAAATACAGTTTACTAGTTGATGGTTTATAGCTTTGGTTTCTCTTCTTGGTTTTTGATGCATCCGGTAAAGCTCAGATTACATTACGTAGAGCTCCAAGCTCTGGCAGAAGTTACATTCTGGGACTGATACAGAGGAAGAAAACCTTTGCTCTAGAATACTGTCATTTTTAAGAGTGACCGATCCAGGGTAGAACGTGCTCGTTTTCTTGCTTAAAGACACCTTGCCTTTGGTGAGCAAATGGAAACCATATGGACTACAATCAAGAAGCTGAAAGTCATAAACTCAGCAGCCTTGGCAGAGGGCCGTGCAGAACCGATCATGCTGCACTTACCTCTAGCACTTGTGGTCTCCTGGGGACCAGCCTTGCAGACCGTGGGACTGCAGGCAGGGCATTTTGGTGATGACACCCTGAAGAAAGAAAATAGAAGAAACGAGTAATGAGTTTATAATTTACAGCCTATGGACTTACTGGGACTTTCGCTCATGTTTTCATTTATTTCTTGAACTTTTGCTTCTCCTCTTCCTCTCTTTCCACACTCCCAACTGTAACCCCACACTCCCATAAAATCACCCCAAGTCAGACTTTCTCATTGTCTTCAGTGATTTGTTTGTCCCCTGATTTGTCATAAAAGGCTAAAGTGTTCAACTTTTGTTCATGAAAAGCTCAAACATTAAGTTCATAATTGTTTTAACAGATTTATGAGTCTTTCTCTACGGAGTTGTTTTCAAAATAAGATCAGTGCCATGAATGGAATAGGAACTATTACAGTCATTATATATGTTGGTTTCCCAGCATAAGTTAGAACTTAGCTGTTCTACGAGAAACTTGGAAACTCACAGATGCTGTGTCTATCCTTCCAAACACATCTATATCTGTTTCCCTGAATTGAGACATGACATTCTTTTTAGGCAAGCAAGGGCTTGGTGGGAAGCACAGGTCATTTTGTATGGAATGGACAGTCATCAATTTGTAGAGTGCAACACGTGGTGGCCACTGTTTTAGGCCTCTCATTTGGGGAGAGGAGAGTCTCCAAGCTCTAGGACCTGGAACTGCGTGTGAGGTAGGAGTAGAGTGGAATTGTTGTCAGCCTAAGGAGTCCTAAATGCTCCTGTACGTGTATTCAGCCAAGAAACTAGCTCTAATTGTTCCTGAGACAGGGGCTGGTGGCCTACCCTGCATTTTTCTTGTCCTGATCTACAGGAGCAATTGAATCACCTGAGGGTATTAATTTAAAAATTCAGATTTCTGAGCCCAACCCAAGTAATTATTTTCCAGTAGGTTTGGGGCAGGTGGTCTGATACGGGTAGTCTAGTCAGTGGACCAGTTTCCTGACTTCTGTGGGAATCACTTGTATTCCTTATATTTTTATCACCTAAGTAGACATTCCCAGTCACTATAGTTTGGTTTGGGCTGTTTTTTTAAATTTTATATAAATGGAATTATACAATACATGTTGCGTCTGGCTCAAAATGCTCAACATCATGTTTGTGATGTTACTGGGCGTAACCCTAGTTTGCTCCGCTTCATCGACACTATGAACATACCCACCGTCTGTCCACTCTACTGTAGATGAATAGAACTGGCTTATTTTCAGTTTTTTGGCTATAATGAAAAATGCTGCTATGAACATACTTGTGCACGTCTCTTTGTATATGTGTGAAAATGCATTTCAACTGCGTATATGCTTATAAGTAGAATTGCTAAGTCTTAGGGCATCCATAACATTAACTTTAGAAGACAAGGCCAAACTGTTTTCATAAAGAGTTATATCAATGTACATTCCCACCAGCTGTATGTGAGAGATCACACTATTGTACGTCTTCACTTAGTATTGATGATCTTTTTAATTTTTAACCTTTCTGGAGGGTTATTCTACATGAGTAAGCTCTTTGTGGTTTTCATGTGCATTTCCTGATTACTAATGTGGTTAAGTACCTTTTGATAAGTTTCTTGGTCACTTGGATATCTTGGTTTATGAATTTCATTTTAAAGTCTCTCCCATTTTTCTAGTGGGTTGTCTTTTTCGTGCTAATTTGTGGGAGTTCTTTATACGTATCATAGTTATAACCCCTTTGTCAGTCCCTGAGTTGAAAATATCTTCCTCCTCTCTGTGGCTTGCCTTTTCACACTTTAATGGTGTATAAACAGAACTACTTAATTTTAAGGTAGTCCAATTTGTCTAATGTTGTCTTTGTGCTTAGTGCTTTTGAGTTCTGTTTAAGAAATCTTTGCCAACCTCAAGATCACCAAGATATTCTCTGTGTTGTCATCTAATGGTTTTATTGTTTTACCTTTCACACTTAAGTCTTTAATTCATCTGGAATTAATCTACCTGGAATTGAAAACATGGCCTTTCTCCACTGCTCTGCCACCTTTTTCATAAATAAGTGCCCATATAAGCAAGGGTCTGTTTCTGGGCTCTTTATTCTGTTCCATTGGTCTATTTGTCCATCTTTGTGCTGTAATACCGTCCTGCCTCAATTACTTTGTAATAAACTTTGTTACCTGTAGAACAAGCCCTCTCACCTGGTTTTTTTTTTTTTTTTTTAGAGTGTCCTGGCTTTTTTCTGGACTTGAATCATCTTGTCAAGTTCCACAAAATCATCTATTGGAATTGCACTGAATCTATAGATCATTTTTACAATATTCAGTCTTCCAATCCATGAACATGGTTTCTCTCTCCATTTATGTAGATCTTTATTTTTCTCACTAATGTTTTAAAGTTTTCTGTGTAGAGATCTTTCACATCTTTGGTTACATTTATTCCTAAAACTTGACAAATTTTAGCAAAGTGGCATTTTTAAAAAAATTTCATTTTTAAACTGTTACTGGAAATAATGTTCTCTTATACTGTAACTTTTTTATACTGTAACTATAACTTTTAAACTCTTACTGGTACTAATTTTCTTTTATATTTCTTGCTTTTAGACATTCATGAAAATTTTGTATCATGCTATACTTTCCTTTATTATAAAAACTTACGCTTTCCTTTATTGTAAAAATGTTTCTGCTGTCCATTCTACCTGTATTACTTTTCTATTGCTGCTGTAACAAACTAGTGCTCTGTATTTGTCCTGTGGCTTTAGGAAGCCCTGGCAGAGGCCTGTTCATTTCAGAAGCAAGATTCCAATTTCTTTCTTTAAGTACCAATTCAGAAAGGAAAACCATTGCTTTTCAGATAATTTGGGACTATTCTGAGAGGCCCAGTCAGAGTTATCATAGCTTCCATCTCTTCTGGGTTTGTTTTCCTCCTGAGTGACAGTGAGGCCAATTGGGAGGGTCCAAGGTTGAGACAGGGGCGCAAGCATTGCCCTAAGCAATAAAGGAGAGGGTTAAACCCCACAACATCCATTGTCTCCTCAAACTGTAACTACTCAGAAGCCCTGAAGCAACATCCAGTTTAGTGTCAGATGACCGCCTTGCTAGAACATGATTTTTACCCTCTTACAAAGTGAAATTTCCCATTGTTTTCTAATCCTAAGAATCATGTGGAGCTTTTGTCACACCTACAGATTCACTAGTGCGTCAAAATCAGAATTCCTAAAGGGAGTGGCTTGAGAATCTTTATTTTTAACAGGAACTGATCATTTTCATGATCAAACAAGTGTGGGAACCATTGCTCTCAAGGACTATCCAGGGATGGGAGTGGTCAGTTTCAATGCCACAAACCCTGCTTTTCTTACAAAGGTTCTGCAGTGTTCCTTGAAAACACCCTCCTCAGACTGTTGCACACCTCTGGTTAATTTACAGAGTTTTGTAAAAGTTGGTTTTGAGAGTTTATGCTAGGGTTTTTCTGTTTTTTTGGAGGGGTGGATATACATAGGTCCTCTCTCTGGATTTTGGTAGTCCTACCCTTCACAGGTTTCTAATAATAGTAGTAGTAGTGGTACTATTGTAAAATGTACATAAAATTTACCATTTCAGCCAATTTTTTAAGTGTACAGTTCAGTGGCATTAAGTCCATTCAAAATGTTGTGCCACCCTCACCACTGTCCATCTCCTGAACTTTTTCATCATCCCAAACAGAAACTCTAAACCCGTTAAACAATAACTCCCCGTTTTCCCCTCCCCTAAGTCCCTGGTAACCTCTGTTCTACTTTCTGTCTCTGAATTTGCGTATTCTAGATCCCTCACGTAAGTAGAATCATACTATATTTATCCTGTTGTGACTGGCTTATTTCACTTAGAGTAACGTTCTCAGGGTTCATCCATGTTGAAGCATATATATGTATGCTATTCTGTAGCATATCAGAATTTCATTCCTTTTTAAGGCCGAATAATATTCCCTTGTATGTGTATACCATGTTTTGTTCATCCATTCATGTGTTTATGGGCATTTGTGCTGTTTCACCATTTGACTGTTACCTTCACAAGTTTTTTATGTCGTATTTTATTAATCATTCAACTGAAAATATATTCTAATTTTCATTGTGATTTCATTTTACCCCACGCTTTATATAGAAGTATATTATTAAATTTGTAAATATTTAGACATTTTCTAGTTTTCTTTTTGTTATTGATTTCTAGCTTAATAACACTTGTCAGAGAACATACTTTGTATGATTCTAATCCTTTGAATTTGATACTTCCTAACGGCCCAACAGATGGTTAATTTTTGAAAAGGTTCCTCATGCTCTTGAAAACAAAGCATATCCTGCAGTTGGTGGGTTCAGAACTCTAGACATGGCAGTTAGGACCAGTGTCTTGATTGTGTTGTTCAAATTTGGTGTGTCTTGCTGATTATTTGCTTGTTCTACCAGTTACTGAGAGAGGTGTGTTAAATGTTCCATTATGATTGTGGATTTGCTTATTTCTCCTTTTAGCTCCTTTGATTTTATCTAAAAAGCTTGGAGACTGTGTTATTAGATGCAGACAACTGTAGGGTTGTTGTATCTTCCTATTTGGTTGACCCTTCTATCATTATAAAACGTCCCTCCTTAACCCTAATAATACTTCTTGCCTTCTGACCATCCTGCATGTGGCAGCTCTCCTCTCCACCTCTCCTCCTTTTTTTAAAATAAAAATTTAAATTTAGAACATTTTTAGATTAACAGAATTATTGTGAAGATAACACAGAGAGTTCCAGTATACTTTACACCCAGTCACCCCTATTATTAGCATCTTACATTAGTACAGTATATTTTTAACAATTAATGAACCAATATTGACACATTATTAACCATACTTTATCCAGATTTCCTCAGTTTTTCCCTAGTGTCCTTCTGACCCAGGATCCCATCTATGATACATTAAATTTAGTTGTTGTGTCTCCTTAGGCTCCCCATAGTAGTGATAGTTTCTAAGACTTTCCTTCTTTTGATGACCTCGACGATGTTGAGGATTACTGACCAGGTATTATTTTGTAGAATGTGCCTGAATTGGGAGTTGTCTGATGTTTTTCTCGTCATTAGATGAGGATAATGTATTTTGGAGAGGAGGACCACAGAGGAAAAGTACCATTCTCATCACATCATTCTGAGGGTAAAAGCTGTCAAGATTCCCCACTATAAAATTACTCTTTTTTTCCCTTTCTATAGTCATTGGAAGAAAGTCACTATGCACAGCTCGCACTTAAGGAATTGTGAGTTATGCGCCACCTCCTTGAACACAAAAGGAACTACACAAATTATTTGAAAGTCTTCTGTGGGAAATTTGTCCTTTCTCCTCATTAATGTATTTATTCAGTCACTCATTTATGCCAGTACCAACTTGTGGGCATTTATTTTATACTTTGAGCTACAATACAGTACTACTTTATTTTATTGCTACAATTTTTCCTGCTTTGGCCATTGGGAGCTCTTTCAGTTGGCTCCATCACTGTTTTTTTGTGGGTTTTTTGGACACTTTTATACTTTCTGGCACTACAAGATGCTTCAGGCTCATCCTGTATATCTGCTGCTCCTGTCTGAGAATCGCCATTCCTCCAAGAAACCCTGGTTCCTTTATTGGAGAAGCGTATTAGAAACCAAAATCTGGGCACTAGGTGTGGTTGTTGTTGCAAGTCTTGCTTCTGGGCCCTCTCAGCTGATGGTCCATACTGATATGGGCTGCATGTAGGGGCTTTCTTCAAAAGAGCAGGAAAACATATGCGTGTATACTAACCCATGTATACACACATATCTATATATATTTCTATATGTAACCATATATATCTGTATTAAGCTAAACATGAGTTTATGCTGATGTTTCCAATTCTAATCCATTACCACATGGATCATTCTAGTCTCTTCCCCTTGTTTATCTTTAACCTTTCACTATAACAGCAAGAAACCTGGCTCCTACCATCCACCATTTTACTTAATAATGGCCCCAAAGTGCAAGAGTAGTGATGCTGGCAATTCGGATATGCCAAAGAGAAGTTGTAAGGTGTTTCCTTTGAAGTTCTCGACTTATTAAGGAAAGAAAAAAATCGTGTGCTGAGGTTGCTAAGATCTACAATAACTTTTATTACAGTATATTGTTATAATTGTTCTATTTTATTATTTGTTATTGTTGTTAATCTCTTACTGTGCCTAGTTTATAAATTAAACTTTATCACAGGTATGTATGTATAGGAAAAAACAGTATATAGCGAGGGTTTGGTACTATCCGTGGTTTCAGGCATCCACTGGGAGTCTTGGAACACATTCCTCGTGGATTAGGGAGGACTACTGTATTTGCTGTTAAAACTGATTCAGGACCAAATGATCAAGACTTCTCCCAAGTTTCTTCTGTCTTGCATAATATGGGGTTTTCAATGTACGTGGAGAATAAATAAGGTGAATAAAAAGTATTCTGTTGTATACCTTAATATATTCCTGACTTAACACATTTTAAATTATCAATCATTTCATATTTTGGACCATTCATATTTTCATATTTTGGGCCATTTTGATTTTATAGCAGTGTAAAAATGTCTCTTTGTGGCCTTGGCCTTACAAATTTTTTTTTTTTAAGGATTTTATTCTTTTTCCTTTTTCTCCCCAAAGCCTCCCGGTACATCGTTGTATACTCTTAGTTGTGGGTCCTTCTAGTTGTGGCATGTGGAATGCCGCCTCAGCATGGCTTGATGACCGGTGCCATGTCCGTGCCCAGGATTTGAACAGATGAAACACTGGGCCGCCACAGCGGAGCGCACGAACTTAACCACTCGGCCACAGGGCCGGCCCCTGGCCTTACAAAATTTCAATCAAACAGCTTTTGCTCAGAACTTAAGACAGTTGTCCTCAGGGCTAAAATTAACCAAGAAAAAGATTAAAAGCAAAAGCAAATTTAGAATATAATCAGTACTTTCAAAATGAGCTGATTCTGCCCTCCGTCTTCCCTTAATAACACTTGCTACTTCTTAGCCTATAATAGAATAGCAGTAGTTATGAGAAGAAAAAATTTATATTTCTGAGATTCCACAAAAACAGATAAACCTTACAAGCTTGTGCTCTTTAGCAATTTGCAATGTCACAGGGCACCTTGGTTGGAATGACTCACATAGTGATCGTGCTCTCAATAGGAAACATTCAAAGTTCTGTACATTTTCACCAGATGTCATACTTTTGCATTTTTCCAGTTATTAAATTTTTTTTTCTACTCTGCTGAGTGCCTCTGTTTGGATACCAGCTTTCAAACACAACTTATTTTCCGAGAGGCCCCCAGCAGCGCTTGAAGATTCCCCTATCTGGCCAAGATGTGCCTCAAAATTCACAGAATTAGCAAAGGAACTTCCAGTTAACTGAAGTGTCAGCATAGTTGAGAGCTGTTAAAAATGCAGAGACTGTGGATTGCAGGAGCAAACCAGACAAAATATCCAACTGGAAAGTACTTCTGAGGCCTTCTAGCTTTAAGCATGGTTCTGATAATTTGGAAAGCCCTGGAAGACAGTATAACTAATATTTATTAGGAAACTCCCCAGTTCTGAAAGAATTGTGTGCACAGTTACTAAGGAGCTACTAAGAACTAACTAGGGAACTACCTAATGCCAAAAAAAAAGGCCAAAAGATTTCTTTTTGAATCATGAGTTCTGCCTCTAAACATCCCACAAACTAAACAGTAGTACAGCAGTCCATCTGGCTTTATATTACTTGACTTATTCCTCACATCTCAAGTTGGAGCCAATTCAACTTGATTTTCAAATAGATTTCCAGAATTTGGACAAGATATTTGACAATTAACATCCAGAGGGACGTGTTTCATAACGAGTCCTCATATTTTTCCACATCCCCACATAGGCTTTCTGTGTCACACTTACTGAGCTCCTTGCAGTTCTCTGATACTCCTTGAGATTAAATGTCTTTTCCTTTGTGCATGCCTCCCTTCCATGCAGTTCTTTCCTTTCCCCGTCTCCTAAACCAGCTCAGAGGAACCCTGCTTTACTGAGATCTTTCCAGAAACACAATATCCTTCCCCTGATAATATCTCCTGTCCTTGTGCAGATTACTTATTACTGTGGTTTCCGTTGACATACTAAACTGAAATTAATATTTTTCTGTGGGCCTATCATAGGACTTAGCTTATAGTAAACCCTCAAGCAACGTCTTTTGGGCCCTCAACACCTGCATCGTCGATGGACAATACAAGGTGGGCAGCAGAGGAAGATTTAGCTGACCTTCCTGCTCTGTGGGGAGTTTTCAACTCCTAAGAGTGGAAAAACCAGACAAGAAACAAACTGAAATTCTCTGGAGCCCCTCTTTGCTGAGCAGAGAACACAAAATATCTGCAGTTTAATCAAATGCTCATATTTTTTTCTTTTTAAGAGCAGGTAGTTAGACATAATTTTAGGAGTACTACATAGAGAATACAGTCATAATTTCAGCTAGTGACTGACATTTAGCTGTTCTTCCCACTGACATTTACACAGGAAAATATGCAGAGTTAAGGTCTGTGAAGTCTCTCAGGGTCTACAATACCCTCTTTCTTCTAATAGCATTCTGGTCTATTTATAGCGACATATCCAGGTGTAAATTACAAAGAAATCTTACTGGTTACACTCAGGCCAGTGCTGTCCTGTTTTATAAGAAAATCGGTTGCACGTGGACTCATCCAGCTGTTTTTTCCGGTAACTGCCCGCATATGTTGTTACAGAAGAATCTGACCATCTTGTTTCATTCTGCCAAGATGCTCCAGCCTTGCGTCTGATCACCTCAAACTCTTGAGAAGTAAGAGGGCTAAAGGGCAGAAGAATTTGTGGAGTCAAGTAGAAGAAGTGTGACATCGCTATGGAGGGCCTGCTCTGAACGACAAATTTCAAGTCCTCTGCATAATGAAGAAGTAATTTCCTTCTAGTAGCAAGAAGTAATTGACTGGGCTCATCCAACTCTGTAACTCTGACAGTTCACAGAATGCAGAAGCTTAACTCTCTTAAAGTTGCCAAGCAACGGATCCCAAAATTCCACATGTACTACCCCCGTGCCCCCAAATTTTAACTAACAAATTTGTAAGTTATATAACTTTCTGGCCTTTGCTCTAAGCAATATACGGCTACAAATTATGGAAAGAAAACAGGTGGCAACTGCTTTTATAAATAAAACAGTGCATCCTAACGGTGGAGCTTTAAGAGATGGGAACAAGAGATAAAAGGACAGTGCCAAGCTTTCATTTCCTCTGAAGACCAGCCGCCAAGGGTGTGGAAGCAAACATGAACTTCCTGTGATGTCAACAATAGCAGGTGACTCAAACAGCTTGTCATATGTCATAGAGCAATGGTGCTTAAGCTGGCTGCACAGGAGAGTCACCTCAGAGGCTGTTAAAATAAGCAGAAGCTGAGGCCTCACCTCTCCCCATCCCTTCCCCATAGATTCTGATTTAATTGGTCTGGAATAGGGCCCAGGCATCAGTATTTTTTAAAAGCTACTCCTGGAGGATTCTACAGTGCAGGGAGGGTAAAGAATTGATGTCATTGAAGTGCCACTGGTGAACCTTTTTTAGATTGAGAAGTCATAGCATTCAATCTATTCATATGATCTCGATCCTTCACTAATAATTATTCTAAATCTGGTTGATATGTTAGCCCATCGTTCTCCACATTAACAAACCATTCATAGGCAAATTGAAATAGGTCTTTCAACATTTGTCCTCAAATTTTTTTAAAAAAGATTTTCATGAGGAAGATTGGCCCTGAGCGAACATCTATTGCCAATCATCCTCTTTTTGCTTGAGGAAGATTGTCACTGACCTAACATCTGTGCCAGTCTTCCTCTACTTTGTACATGGGATTCTGCCACAGCATGTCTTGATGAGTGGTGTATAGGTCCACGCCCAGGATCCAAACCTGAGAACCTGGGCCACTGAAGCGGAGCGCAGGAACTTAACCACTATGCCATCGGGCCAGCACCAAACATTTGTCCTTTCTTTTATCAACTCTTGCAGCAGTAGTTCTCAACCCTCAGTGCTCATTTATATAGCCTGTGGAATTCTTTATAAATACAGATGTCATACCTCACCCTAGAGGTGTTGATAAGCAACATCTGTGAGCGGATCCATTATCTGCATTAAAAAAAGCATCTCAATTGGTGATTGGATCAGCACGTATGAAGCACACTAAACATGCTATAGATCTGAGGAGGAGCCCAGGAATCAGCATATCTATGTTGTTATGTGATTTTGATGCAATTGATCTTTGAATACTGGGAATACTGCTCTAGGAGCTGAATTTAAAGTCTTTTTTTTTGTTTAAGATTGGGACCTGAGCTAACAATTGTTGCCAATCTTTTTTTTTTTTTCTGCTTTTTCTCCCCAAATCCCCCCCAGTACATACTTACATATTTTAGTTGTGGGTCCTTCTAGTTGTGGCACATGGGACACTGCCTCAGCATGGCCTAATGAGCAGTGCCATGTCTGCACCCAGGATCTGAACCAGCGAAACCCTGGGCCGCCGAAGCAGAGCATACGAACCCAACCACTTGGCCATGGGGCCGGCCCCTAAACAGTCTTTTAAAGTGAGGCTGACATACTACAGGGTATATTTCTTTGGGAAGGAAATTATTTTCAAATAATTCTTAGTATTTTAAATTAGGAGTTTCTTTCCTTAAAACTTGGAAATTTGAAACATAAGCACCTTTGCCCCAGAAGGATTAGGCAGATGTTTGCAGACTCAGCTGCTTTTTTTTCAAGGAGCTGAAGGCCAGTTGGAGAAATCCAGATGAGATAAGAAGATGGAGATAAAGAGTGAAGGAGAGCAATGAAAACCAGGCTGCCCAGCTCTTTCAACCCACCCAGTGGCAGGTAGCAACTGCTTATATGCTTCAACCTTTAACTATTCTAACAAAAATGGTGCTTCTAAAGAAATCTCTGCGAGCAATATGCATTGTTTTGAGACAGGAAGATAAATAGAACAGATTGTGAAAGATTGTTTGTCGGAAACATTTTTAAATTTTCTTCTCAAATTGTGTGGCAGTCTATAAACAAATATGTAGTAAAATAAGCTCTTTTAAAAGTAAATTATGGTATATAAGCGTACTTTATTATCACATTCCTGTCCTTTATATTATTTTTATCTCTTCTCTCAGAATCAATTATGATATCGTTTTAACAATTATAACCTCAAGAACCAAGGGTAGTGAAACTTAATTTAAGTGAAAATGTCTGATATTGGATTTAGATGGAATTATAGCTTAATTAATCAGTCTATTTGAGGTTGAACTAGTCTGCTAAAAATAAGACTTCAAATTAGAGAATAAATAGAACAAACTAATTGAATTTATTATCATAAGAGTTTAATTTATAAAATCTTAGAATTCTTAGGGAGCTCACGTTCATTCTTTGTTCTCATTTTATCAGATGATTTGGACACTAGTGTGTGATTTGTATGGTCTGACTTCCATGTTGAAAGTATGCACAAAAAACTTCCTTTTGTAACTGAGCTATGGCAAGCCATGTTGTTCAGTCCCCAGTATGCTGAATGTGAAAAAACCTAATTAAGAGCGCTGTGACAATGAACTCTGGGTTGTGAGTGTGATTTAGTGAAAATAGAAGCTTCTGAGTGACCTCATACCCAATAAAACCAGCAGAGGGCCTACATATCACCTGATGCGCAGGTGCCTTTGGTGGGCAGGCCCCATTCAGGCTTCTATCGAAACATAAGCTGATTATCCTAATGAGGGGTTACTAGGTGTTAATTAAAAGGGTTTCATGTTTAGGACAAGTTGGGATAAACATGTTTCTTTGCTGTAGGATTTATAGTCTTTAATATTTCAATGTGCATTGTGAATCTTTCAAAGAGGCCTAGATAGTGTAGTATTTCCTAAACTTAATTGACTACAAAACTCCTTTTGTGGGGTGGGGAGCATCTCTGGGTATTGCTATTCTATGAACAGTCCAGGAATGAAAAGGCTAGAGGTCTCTATAGCTAAAACAGTGGCTGGTCCACAGTCTCTGGAATTTACTTGACTAGATCTGCAGCCTAAACCACTGAAAACCTAGCAAGAGGGTGGATCAAGCAATATATGTATTTTATTGAGATGTAATATCAAACAGTAAAGTACTCAAATATAGTTTACATATGTACACATCTGTGTAACTGCTGACCAGATGCAGACTCTTGTCCCTTCCCAGTCAAAACAGCATGTACACACACACACAGAGGTAATCACTATTTTGATCTCTATCACCATAGATTGGATGTATCAGGCTGTAGTCTGTGAAGACAGAAACTCACTGATGCTGGGCCAGCCCGGTGGTGCAGCGCTTAAGTTCTCACATTCCACTTCGGCGGCCCGGGGTTCACCAGTTTGGATCCCGGGTGCGGACGTGGCACCACTTGGCAAGCCATGCTGTGGTAGGCATCCTACATATAAAGTAGAGGAAGATGGGCATGGATGTGAGCTCAGGGCCAGTCTTCCTCAGCAAAAAGAGGAGGATTGGCAGCAGATGTTAGCTCAGGGCTAATCTTCCTCAAAAAACAAAAAAGAAACTTACTGATGCCATTCCAAGATGAAACGCAGGAAGAAAACAAGTCATATAAAGACAGAAAAAGCAAAATTCCCTTGAGAAAAAAAGATCCCATATGAAGCTGAAGTTTCCATCTCAGCAAGAATCTGGCTCCTCCTCACAAGGTGCCAAATGCTGATATTTGGATAAGTGTGGCCAGCAGCTGAATGAGCATACATCATGTGTCATAGTTAACTGTTTGAGTCTGTCAGTTATAATAATATTAATTCTCAGTCCTTGATCTTAGAATGATTTCTTGATGCTTACCCATTGTGTGATTTTGAAATTTTTAGTAACTTACTTATCAAAAACTGTGTGGCACATGGTCTAAAGGATGCAGGAATCAGGGAACTAGTTGCAATAGGACTAGAGGGAAATAGAAGAAGGGCAAAGTGCAAAGGCACAGGAAAAGGAAACTGATAAAATTAGTGAGGAGAAGCCAAAAAGGAAGGATCCTTTTCTCTTCTTTCCTGAAATTTATTTTTGGTTACATTTACTATTTGAAAACTGAAACTGATTACAAACAGTGTATATACACTATGTTCCCAATTTTGTTTAATAAAAAATATGTGTGTGTATGTTTATAAGAAAAGGCCTAGTGGGCTATAAATAAAAATGTTAATACTTATTATAACTGAGTAGGAGGATTACATGTGATTTTTATATTTTATATTCCTTTCTTTCTCTTCTAAATTTTTTATAATGAGTATATGTAACTCAAATCAGAACTAAGTGTTACTTATTTATTTTTTTTTTGGTGAGGAAGAGTTGCCCTGAGCTCACATGTGTTGCCAATCTTCCTCTTTTTGCTTGAGGAAGATTGTCGCTGAACTAACATCTGTACCAATTTTCCTCTACTTTGTATGTGGGATGCTGCCACAGCATGGCTTGATGAGCAGTGCCTATGTCCACAAACCCGCGAATCCCAGGCTGCCAAAGCAGAGTGTGCAAACTTAATCGCTACACCAATGGGCTGGCCCCTAAAATGTTATTTTACAAAAACTAAAACAAATAGAATGCATTCACATATAATCAATCTCCCAAATCTTGCAAAGAATCTCTTTTAGGTTTACATTTATTTTTCCCTTCCACTGCTCTTTAGAGTCTAGGCCTTAAACAAACAAACAAACAAACTCTAGGGCAAAGAGATTGGAGTGAATTCAGTCAAATATGATGCTTCTCAAACTTCCTCTCTCTCTAGTTCTGGGTCCATGATCAGTAGAAGGGAGAAAATAAGTGTCCGAGTGTTGATGGGGAATAGAGAAATAGAAATAGGAAAAGATTAGGTATACCGTGGACCCCAAAGCAAAGACATTTCAGTTAATGGTTGCTATTTTCCAAGGAAACCCTGTCTATTCATAGGTACCCACAAGGAGGTAATCCACAAATTGTGTCCCACACTCTCAAACAAACAAAAAGATTTTCAATAACCGTAACTAAAAAAATGAGCCATAAGAAGGGTCAAGGCTTTTCACAGTAGCACCTCCTGGGATAAAGAGCATGTAGTGATGGCTGATTTCTTTGGTTCACCCAAGGAGAGTGTGGGGGAAGTACACTCACAAGCTGCGCTGGCCCACCTTTCCTGCTCTATGAAATTAAGCCATTGCTGTACAATTCTGCTGGGACAACACCCTTAGTTTTACATAGAACACATTATTAGCATAATCAAAAGTCATTTAAAAGAATATCCTAAAAGATATTTCCAAGTTCTGCTCTTGCTTAAGTAACCTGAGTCTTAGGAGAGCCTCATGTAGATAATAAGAATAATTGATGACAATAGAAGCACATATTTATATGTTGTAGGCACTTTTGTAAGTCCTTTGTATACAATGATTCACTTAGTCCTCACAACAACCCTATGAGGAAGGTACTGTTATTATCCCCATTTTACAGATGAAGAAACTGATCCACAGAATGTTTGCCCAACATCACACTGCTAGGAAGAGGTAGGACTGGAGTTGAAACTCAGGCGGTGTGACTGCAGGGTCTGGACTCTTTAGACCGCTTAAAACTACATCTTTAACTTGCTTTAATCTCCTTCTCTGCTGTCTTCCGCCTGTCTCTGCCCAGTAACTCCCTCTCAGCCTTTGTCTGGTCCCACGTCTGCTGACTACTCCCTTTCTCGTTAGTCCAGTCCAAAAGCGTCCCCAACACCCTGTATGTTACTGACTTTCATATTCAAAGAGGCTTCTAATCGATCACCTAATAA